AGAGAGAGAGAGAGAGAGAGAGAGAGAAGCCCTTGTGTGTGTGTGTGTGTGTGTGTGTGTGTGTGTGTGTGAGAGAGAGAGAGAGAGAGAGAGAAGCCCTCGAACATTACTTAACTACTTCGTGGAAAATTCAACAGACTCCCCCAATCACTAGATATCCTGACCGCCTTCTCGTTTCCTGGTGACCCCGTTACTTTCTTACTTACACGCGCGCGCGCGCGCGCGCGCGAGAGAGAGAGAGAGAGAGAGAGAGAGAGAGAGAGAGAGAGAGAGAGCATTACCTCATCCCCTATTTTCTGGAATGTTCAAGTGAATCCCCCAATCACCAGCCATCATAACCACCTACTCGTTACCTTGTGACCCCATCCATCACTTGCTGAATACCCGTTTTCAGCGCAAGAGAACCATGGTGTGGGAACTTCAGCGAGGAGATTCAGCGCTTTCACAGTTGTCGTCCATTGGCAAAGGTCATGAGATGTGGATTGCAGGTCCACGAAGGACGGAATTACGGCGGTGATGACAGCAACGCCCATGGCGACGAGTCGACGTTGTAGAAGGACGGCGACGACGAGGAAGGGAAAAGAAGATAGGAAGACGAGCCACGCAATAACCATTATTCTGGCAAAGAAAGAAGGAAAACTTGAAAGGTAGAAAAAAAAAAAAAACAAAGAGAAACTACGGCACAGTCATTGTTTTCAGTTTCAAATGCGTTTCAGTCACGATTTCGCGCATGTTGATCCAAAGCGAGGAAATCGTGAATGTATACAACCCACCTTTAGGGTTGGGTGGGGATGAGTTGTATTCGAGGGATACCTGAGCTCAGTGAACTGCATGTCAAACTAAAAGCGTGACTGCGCCCTAGATACCTCAAAGCGAGAACAAAGAGAGAGAGAGAGAGAGAGGAGAAGATGGTGCCCAGGACGCATTCGCTATGATGCAGATTACAACACAGCGTGTTGAAGAAAGAGAGGAAGGAGGAGGACAAGACGACTATGACGATGACCCCGTCGTCGCCACCGGCGCTGTTGCCAGTAAATGACACTGTGGCAATGATGATGATGATGATGATGACGGCGACGATGACTTCAACAATTAACTGCGTGGGCCATCGTGCTACGGCCACGTTTGTACAAGCACGACAAAAAGAACAACAGATTACTTCTTTTTTTTAATTGAAAAAAAAGTTACACTGTTCTCTCAATTTCMCCTCACATCCAAAAAAAAAAAAAGAAAAAAAAAAAAATTCACCTCACAGTACGTACCTACCACTACGGGGTACCCGTGGCAGCCGGAACCGTGTTCACGAGAGAACACGAGAGAACATGCGGGGGCAGCTGCCGATCTGCGGGTGGGCGATACCGGCCAGCGGGTGCAGCTGGTAGCATCAGGGATCCTGCCAGCAGGACCAATCTCAGGTGGTGGTGCCCCCCCGCCTGCGAACATCAGCAGACTCTGCTCAATGGTGATCGGGGGATCCAGTGGTCTATCTCTAGGTGCGGGGTGGCAAGCATGACCAGGAAGGTACATGAGCCTATGGGGATTGAACCCACGACCTCCTGAATGGCACTTGCGAGCCTTACGAACTGAGCTAGGCCGCTGGATGAACAGGATACTGTTACACTGTTACTCAGCCAAAAAAGAGGGGAGGGTTAAAGAAAATTTAAAAAATGAGGTCCTTGCTTCCGTTAAGCTGCCTAATGAGGGGCATATATCTCAACGAGTGCATGCAGGCACGCCATCAACATAGCCCCCATGGAGCATAGAGGGCGATCTAAGCCCTAAGCCTTGCCTTCAGCTTCAAAATGCTTGGGAAGACGCGACCCAACCTCACCCAGCCACCAAGTGAACAGCCAGCACCAGCTGACTGCACGTGTCGCTCAACTTCTCGTGCTAACGGACTACAGTTGTCGCTCCCCGTGCCTCGTGCCAACCAGCTGACGACACATGGTTATGGCGCTTGCGCCTACCTTAGTGTTTTCAGCTCTCATTGTCCGTCTTACGAGCTGAATTTACTATTCTTCTCTATCTCGTCGTCTGTTTTCTCTTTCTGTTGTCATATGATTGTCTCTGACTGCTATACACTTGGCGTGCCTGCTGCGTGGAGTTCTAATCTCTGACTGCACTTGTCCATCGCCTTACCTTGTTCAATGATATGAGCTCCAACAAGAGACAAACAGTTACGACGACGACGACGACGAAGAAGAAGAAGAAGAAGAAGAAGAGGAAGAAGAAGAAGAAGAAGAAGAAGAGTTACAAACAGATGCCAAACACTGCTTTCCGTGCATGCGTCTCAAGCTTTTTCAGAGAAATCCGCATGTCGAAGAAGAAGAAGAAGAAGAAGAAGAAGAAGAAGAAGAAGAGGAGGAGGAGGAGGAGGAGGAGGAGGAGAAGGAGGAGATGGAGAAGGAGGAGGAAGAATTGAATTAGAGACGTTTGAAACAATCGTTTGGAAAAGAAAGAAAAAAGAAAACAGTTCATTCTGCTCTGTATGCCCTTGCTCTCGAACAGACATGGTCACATGGTCATGATTCAAGTCACAGTCATGACAGACCTGCACAGACATAGACGAAGCAGAAGAAGAAGAAGAAGAAGAAGGAAAGAAAGAAGAAAAGAAAGAAAAGGTCTACGACGACGTTCACCGTTGTGAAACGACATTCAGAGGCTTGAGTAAGATGGGGCCGAAGTGATGGGGCAAAAGTAACGTATCTTTCGGTCAGGCTGGCTCCAGCCTAACGTACCTGCAGGTTCCAGCGGGCTTCATCTGGCATGGTGTCCACGTTGACGATGGCCCGGAGGGGGAAGCTCTCGTCCCAGAACAAGCAAAAGCAGACGCAGCAGCAACATCTGACCGGCGGGACTACGACGCGGAGTGTCTCAGCCGCTTCATTGATAGACAGAACATGATCCCCATTCAACGAGCACGCGTTTCCCATTTCTACGTCAAGTCCTTCGAACATAGGAAAAGAATGTGCGTGTGCGTGTGCGTGTGCCGTGTGCGTGTGTGCCTGATATTTATGTTTGGGAAAAGTCATAAACACTCCCCCCGACAAATCCTTTCTAACTGATGATACATTGTTTCGTCGGAACCCTCAACATTGACTCAACAACAGTCTGCACAACCCCTGTGTTAATGCTTTGGGTCATGAACCCTTTCGACCTTTGTTGAAAGCAGACTGTGCACGAGCGGAAGCTGTGGAACACAGCAGCAGAAGGCAACAACTCAGCAAAGCAGCAGGGAACGATGCCCGGGCAACCCAACTGCACAACACCGGAAAAAAGAAAAGACGGGAAAAAAAAAAAGAGAGAGTGTGGCATACTGCGCATTCACACGGGCCTGCAAGGCCGGACCAAACAAGGAAAGAAAGGGCCCTACAGGCCCTGTGTCGTTTTCAGCCTGAAAGCCTGAAAACAAGGGCCTACAGGCCCTGTGTCGTTTCAGCCTGAAAGCCTGAAAACGAGGGCCTACAGGCCCTGTGTCGTTTCAGCCCAAAAGCCTGAAAACGAGGGCCTGCAGGCACTGTGTCGTTTTCAGCCTAAAAGCCTGAAAACGAGGGCTTACAGGCCCTGTGTCAGTTCAGCCGGACGGCCTGAAAATAAGGGCCTACAGGCCCTGTGTCGTTTCAGCCTGACAGCCTGAAAACAAGGGCCTACAGGCCCTGTGTCGTGTCAGACTGACAGCCTGAAAACAAGGGCCTACAGGCCCTGTGTCAATTCAGCCTGACAGCCTGAAAAGAAGGGCCTATAGGCCCTCAGTCTTTAGCCAGAAAGCTACCCGGAAACTACCCGGAAGCTTCCTCAGGGGCTAGCACGTTCTGGCATTGGCAAGAGCAGCCTCCCGGAAGCTCCCTCAGGGTCTCGCACGTTTGCCCTTCCTCAGGGGATAGCATGTTCTGGCATTGGCAAGAGCAGCCTCCCGGAAGCTTCCTCAGGGTCTAGCACGTTTGGGCATTGGCAAGAGCAGCCTCCTGGACGTGCCAGCACTATAGGGGCTCGTTCGACACTCCTCGGGCGCGTAAAGTCCCCATTGGGCTCCGAGGATTCCCCAGCCATTGGCAAGGAATTGTTCGTTCCACCTATCCTCGGGGATGCAGTCGGCAAAAAAAAAGTGAAAACACTCTGAAGGAAATTCCTTGGGCTCCGAGGATTCCCCAGCCATTTCTTCCTTTTGCCCAAGGGACCTCACGAGGTCCCTTGGGCAAAAGGAATCCGCGTTTCACGGACAGGAGCAGGCACATGGCTAGAGAGACGTTACAACCGAGAATCTGGATCGTGGCGGCACCCTATTGGCTGAAGGCCTCAAACACATTCGAAGGAAATGTCATCGGGCAACGTCCCCGAGGACAGGTGTAACGATGGCGGGAATTTCCTTGAAAACCCCCAAGGAAACTTCCTTTGGCCCCGAGGACGCCCCAAGGAGTGTCGGACGAGCCCCTTTATAAGACTGGCCCGCCCTACAGGCAGGGGGTAGTTCATAGGGACTGGCCAGGCACTTCACGTGCAGTTCATGAGGCAGGAGGTAGTCTTCAGGATTCGGCAGCAACACTCTGGAGGAGCGCTGCAGGAGTAGTAGTTGTCTTCAGCGTTGGGCGCTAGTAGGAGCTAGAGTAGAATTGGAGAGGGAGAGAGAGAGATGGTTGGCGGAGGCCAGGGAGACATACATGTGGCGCCATAGCTCCAGCTTTCTCTTCGATGTACCTGCAACAAGGCGCCATCTTCACATGTTAGTACCGGACTGAGAGAGAGAGAGAGAGAGAGTTCTTCTTCTTCCTCTTCTAAATTCACCATCTCTTCTTCACCCTCTCGCTACCTGACTTTTCAGTATTTGCGGACTACGAGAGAGAGAGAGAGAGAGAGAGTTGTGACTTTTGGACTTAACGACATTGGATCCAGACTCGACATTGGGATTCAGACATTTGACGAGGCATTATTTGGGGTCTTTTCCGAAGACTTGGTGTTGACGACATTCCCATCTTCCCCTCTTCTTTGTCTAACCCCCCTCTTCTTCGTCTGTGTATGGTTGGGGACTGGCGCATTCTTCCTGTGTGAGCGTCAGGCCCCTTCACACCATGGAATGATGATGATGTATGCTTGGGGCTGCATTGCAACATTGATTGTTCGGATCATTGGTATCTAATTCTTCCGCTACACAGTCTACACTATCTTGTACTTTGTGAGAGAGGTCGGTTCTTCTTCTGGTCTGCACCGTTACAGTATGCGACAGTTTGGTATCGGAGCGGACCTCTCAATCAGAGGACCCGCTCAATCAAGTAGCCAGCTTGCTTGATCTATTTGATTGTTTATTAGTAAATCAAGTAGGACTTCGTCAAATCTCTGAAAATTTTTTGTCTTTCTCGCAACAAATATTTGAAAATTCCGGATAATAGCATTTCGTTTTATCTGAAAATTTCTTATATTAGCATTTCAAATATCTAAAAATTTCGGATTATAGCATTTCGTTTTATCTGAAAATTTCTGATATTAGCATTTCAAATATCTGAAAATTCCGGATAATAGCATTTCGTTTTATCTGAAAATTTATGATATTAGCATTTCGTTTTCACGCAGCAAATATCTGAAATTTCTGAAAGTTCTTTGTAGCATCTCGTTTCTCGGATATTAGCATCCGAAATTTCTGATATTCGCATACATAGCCGAAAATTTATGATGTTCGCATTTCGTTTTCTAGGCATATTGGGATAACGATAGAGGTGGTCATATTCTCGGAAATCGGATTTATTCTGTTTTGAAAATCACATCTCCATTCTATCCCGCAATTTTTTTTTTTGAAAACCGAAATCTTGCGAAGCCTATCAGCATTTCGTTTTTAGGCATACTAGGAGGTTGTCATATTCTCAGAAACTGGATTTAGTTCTTTTCTGAAAATCGCATCTCTACTCTATTTAACAATTTTTTTTATCTTTTTTTCAAGATCGCATTTTTGTGAAAGCTGAAACTTTGCGCAACTTGGCCTAGATCTCGCTCATAGTACTCCTCTGAGATGCGTCACTCGTAATAGATCGACTGATATACAAAAAAAAAAAAAAAAGGGTGGTCCACTTTTTTTTTTTTTTTTTTTTTTTTTTTTCTATTGATTAGGACCGGGAGGAAAGTATAGCTTGGTTGGTTACCTACTTGCATTTTCCCTCCCACCGAACCCTTTGCCTGCATTCTCGGTTTGGTACAGTGCCACGCAGCAGTGCCATGTCAGCAACAGTGTCACGTCAGCAGTGTCACGTCAGCAACAGTGTCACGTCAACAGTGCCACATTAGCAACAGTGCCACGGCAACAAAGCCACGTCAGCAGTGCTACGTCAGCTGTGCCCCGCCACCATGACGGTCTCAGTTCTGGGCATGTTAGACCAACTGGCCAATTAGTCCATTGCCGAGTACCGACAGCGGTTCCAAGCTCAGCTCATATTGATCAAGTTTGAGGAACAGCGTCAGGCGGCAGCCAAAGCTGCCCGCCTACAGGATGAAGCAGAGGTAACAGCTTAAAAGCAGCGGCTTCAGACTGAAGCCGATGCAAATACCCAGGCATGCAGCAAGGAGGCCCAGGATCTGCTACAACGACACGAAGCCGCCAGCATCGAAAAACTCAAGTTCCGGCATTTCGAACCTTCTGATAGCTCATCAAGACCAACGGGGCTGCTGCATACGAGAAGACAGCGTGGCAGTCAGCCCCAACAGAAAAATTTTCCAGAATTAAATAATCATTCTATAGTAAAATTACATTCTAAATTTCAAATTTTCATTCCATCTTAAAAAATATCATTCCAATTTTAAAAATTTTCATCTTACTTGAGAACTTTCCTTCCAAGACTGGGGTATCCCTTCTTATTTTAACTGCGTGCTAGAGATGGAATGAAAGTCTGGATGTGTTCATGAAATATTTTAATTGGACTGTCATTCTAAGTAAGGATTTTCAGTCATAAATAGGTTAATCCAATCTAAATTTGAAGATATTTTTTGTAGTACAATGAAAGTATGATTAAAACATTTTATGAACTCGTCCAGACTTCCATTCCATCTTGAATAAACAGATGTTGTTGGAAGGGAAAACTCATATTTAGACAGAAACTTATTAAATAGAACTCGAAATTTTAGAATTGGGCAAATATTGGAATGATAACTTATAAATATAAAGGATTTTTTTTATGGAATGTTTTTTCAACTTTAATTTGTCGTGGAAATTTTTCTGCTGCCATGTGGAGAAGGAAAAAATTGGTCTGGGTCCGCAGCATGTCGCTGCAGTCCAACCGGACACCACTGTGGAAGATCCGGCAACCACCCACGCATCATGAGAGAGAGATCAGGTGGGCGTCGTCCAGCCACGAAGCAACAACAACTCCCGGGAAAAGGGAAGACGAAAACCGCGTCACCAGTCGGAAATGGACAGCCAGTACTACAACTCGGGAAACTTAGTTGTGCGGGAGGTGAGGCGACTCTACCTCCCACTCCACCAGATTTGGCCGCCTTGCTAGTGGCCTCCTATACATCTGGGGAGGAGGCGCATGTCGGAAGTCCTCGTTAATCTTAAGAGGATTACGCTGTCCCCGAGGACAGGTGTAACAATGGCGGGAATTTCCTTGAAAACCCCCAAGGAAACTTCCTTCGGCCTTGAGGACGCCCCAAGGAGTGTCGAACGAGCCCCTATATAAGACTGGCCCGCCTTACACGCAGGGGGTAGTTCATAGGGACTAGCCAGACACTTCACGTGCAGTTCATGAGGCAGGAGGTAGTCTTCAGGATTCGGCAACAACACTCTGGAGGAGCGCTGCAGGAGTAGTAGTAGTCTTTGGCGTTGGGCGCCAGTAGGAGCTAGAGTAGCATTGGAGAGGGAGAGAGAGAGATGGTTGGCAGAGGCCACAGAGACTTACCTGTGGCGCCATAGCTCCAGCTTCGTCTTCGATGTACCCGCAACAAGGCGCCACCTTCACATGTTAGTACTGGACTGAGAGAGAGAGAAAAAGTTCTTCTTCTTCCTCTTCTAAGTCCACCATCTCTTCTTCACCCTCTCGCTACCTGACTTTTCAGTATCTGTGGACTATGAGAGAGAGAGAGAGTGTTGACTTTGGGACTT